ACACGAAAAACAAGAAAAACTCAAGTAAAAAAAAAAAAAAAAAAAAATACCGAAGACCCACCTCCGGTTAAGCCACATCCGTTTTCTTTTTCACTCTCGTTTTCTATGAGGATTTTCGAAAGCTGCCCCGAAATTCCAACGGTCGAACCTCACCTCTTCGAAGGTTAACTATTTCCTCTATTTTATTATAATTTTCATCATTTTCTATATTTTTTTCTACTTTCATCTTTCTTTTCTTTATTTTTCTTCTCTTTCTTCTTCGTTGTCTTCTGCTTCTTCCTCCTCTTCATCTTCTTTATTGTATTTTCCTTCGTTTTTCTTTTTCTTTGCTTTATTTCCTCTCTTTTCTCTCTTGTCTTCTGCTTCTTCCTCTTCATCTTCTTTATTATATTTCCCTTCGTTTTTCTCTTTCTTTCCTATTTTCCCATCTCCCTTCTTTCTCTCTCCCACTCCCCCTTCTTTTCCTCGAAGCGTGAAGGTTAACCATTTCCTTTTAATCTTGTTTTTCCGGAATTTCTCCAATCTTTGCGGTATTGTTGGAGGGAATATTATGAAGGGGAAATATGGTACAATGTTGGAGAAGTCGGCCATGTGTTCATTCGAGGTTTTGCAAATGGGAGTAATAGGTAAGAACAGAAGAAGTGGAAAATATGCAATTATGCAATTTCCGGTTTTGCAGGGAGCAATATGTTCAGTTGTGGTTTATGTTTACTGTCGGGGAGGTAGATAGATTGATAGAGAGAGCGTAGGGATAAGAGAGAGGAGAAGGATGAGAAGAGAGAGAGAGAGAAGAGAGAGGAGAGAGGAGAGGAGAAAGGAGAGAGGCAGGAGAGAGAGAGGAGAGAGAGAGGGAGAGAGAGAGGAAAGGAGAGGAGGCAGATGAGGAGAAGAGGAGAATATGAAGAAGAAAGGGAAAGAGGAGGAGAAGAGAAGAAAGAAGAAGAAGAAGAAGAGGGAAAGGAGGCGAGAGGAGAAGAAGAAGAAGAAAAAAAAGAGGAGAGGAGGAGGAAGAAGACAGGAAAAAACAGCAAAGAAAAGAAAAATGAAGAAAGAAACAATAAAGAAGAACAGATGAAGAAGAAGCAGAAGACAACGAAAAAGAAAGAGAAGAAAATCAAAAGAAAAGAAACGAAAAGACGAAAGTAGAAAAAAAATAAAAAAGGAGAAAAATATAATAAAACAGAAAAAAAAATATTTATAAACCAGAAAAAATATAAAAATAAAAAAGGAAGAAAAAAGTACAACAAAACAGAAAATCAAAAAAGTCACCATACGCATTTCAGAATGACAATGAATTTCACTTTTCAGACGACACCAGAAACCCTCATCTTCAAAGGATGAAACAGCAAGAAGGAGGACGAGGGTCAGGATTCGCCAGTCATCGCGGGAACATCTTGACGCCTTACCTTGTGTGTGGGTGGAGGTGGGGGAGGTGGGGTGGGGTGAGGCGTTTGTGGGAAGGGGGTTGGGGGGTTGTGTGTGTGTGTGGGGGGGGTTGTATGTTTGTGTGTGGGGCTGGGGGCGTGGAGGTTGTGTGTGTGGCGGAGGAGGTGTTTGTGGAGGGGGTTGTGTGGGAGTGGGTTTGTGTGTGTTTGGGGGGTTGTGTGTGTGGGGGGTTTAGGGTGGTGGGGGGTGGACGGTTGTTGTGTGTGGAGGGGTGTTTGTGACGGGGGTTTGTGGGGTTTGTGTGTGGTTGGGGTTGTTGTGTGTGGGGGGTTGTGTTTGTGTGTGGGGCTGGGGGGTGGAGGGGTTGTGTCGTGTGGGGAGGGGGTGTTTGTTGGGAGGGGGGGTTGTGTGGGAGTGGGGTTGTGGTGTGGGGTTTGGGGGGGTTGTGTGTGTGGAGGGGGTTGTGTTTGTGTGTGGGGCTGGGGGTGAGGGGTGTGTTGTGTGGGGAGGGTGTTTGTGGGAGGGGGGTTGTGTGGGAGTGGGGTTTGTGTGTGGGTTGGGGGTTGTGTTTGGGGGGGTTGTGTTTGTGTGTGGGGCTGGGGTTGGAGGGGTGTGGGAGGGGTGTGTGGGAGGGGTCTTGGTTGTGGGTTGGGGTTTGGTGTGTGGGGAGGGGTGCGGGGGTTGTGTGTGTGTGTGTGTGTGCGTGTTGTGTACGCGTGTGTTGTGCGTGTGTTGAGTGTGTGTATGTATCTCTGTGTGTGTGTATCTGTCTCTATACACGCATACGCGCGTGTGAAACGAACAAAAACTAAGAAACAAAAAGAAACAAAACCTACAAACTCACAAAAAAAAAAAAAAAATACTACAAAAAACAAAACCACAACAACAAAACAAAATCTAATGTCTGTACATAAGAAACTCGACCGTTAATTGATATGCACAAGTGATCACAAACCCCGATTTTATCAGACTTTCACACACACTAACGAAAAAGGGGTGAAATCTCTCTCAAAACCCCCATTGTGTACACACTACAATCAATGACTTAAGTGTATTAATGGGATTTTCTCTCTGATGAATATAAATTGACTTCTTTATCGAGTGATTTATCTATTCGTGTTTATTTTCTGGTACTATTTTGGTCTTTATCTGTTTTTTTTTTTTTTTACTTCTACTGTGTGAATTAAGGTGAAATTTGAATTGAAATTGAAGAAAACCGTTAAAAGAAAAGGAAAAATACAACATATATATATATATCTAATATATATCTATCTATCATATCTATCTATCTATCTATCTAATCTATATATATTATATATATATATATATATATATATATAAATGCATATATACATACATATAATATAGTACACACACACACATGTTCTGTATATATACACACAAAAACACACAAACACCCACTAATATACCCAAAACCCCTTCTCCATTTCCGCGTAGATAAAAGCTACCACCCACCCACCTTCACCAATGGACTTTCTTCGTGCCCACACACACACGCACACACACACACACACCCACACACACGTAGGTATGTGCCTCAGCAACCTGCAAACTTTCCCCTGCAGTGAAACCCAGCCTCGGACACTCGGGGCTGCAGGTCACACCCAAGCAAGTGAAAATCAAGTCTTCCAAGCAGTTTCTCTGCCTCGTGCAATGGGAAAAGAAAGTTACGAGATATGTCCAGTTTGTTTGTTTGTTTGTTTGTTTGTTTATTATCATTGTTATCGTCTGCCTTTTGCCTGAAAGGATTACGAGATATGTTCAGCTAGTTTGTTTGTTTGTTTGTTTATTATCATTGTTATTATGTAGGAAAAGAAAGTTACGAGATATGTCCAGCTTGTTTGTTTGTTTGTTTGTTTATTATCATTGTTATCGTGTGTTCATTTTTTTGTTTTGTTATTATTATTACTATTATCATTGTTATGTGTTCTTTTTTGTTTATATTATTATTATTATGTGTGGGTTTTGCAATGGGAAAAAAAGTTATATGTTCAGTTGTTTGCTTGTTTGTAATTTGTTTATTATCATTGTTATCGTGTGTTCATTTTTTTTTTTTTGTTTATTATCATTATTATCATGCGTGGGCAGGTTTTTTTTTTATTTTAATAGGTGATACAGACGTGTTTCGTGTGTGTGTGTGTGTGTGTGTGTTGTGTGTGTGTGTGTGTGTGTGTGTGTGTGTGTGTGTGTGTGTGTGTGTGTGTGTGTGTGTGTGTGTGTGTGTGTGTGTGTGTGCGAGTAAATACACATGGCAGTATCACTAGAGAAATCATGTGGCCAGGCTTTTACCGATCATAACAAAAAGTGTCAGAGATTTTGAGAATATTATCTTCCACGATTCATAAAAATCATACTTTCTCGTTTTTTGTTTTTTTTTCAAATTGTATAATCTGGTTGTGTTGCGTTTGTTTTTTGGCTATGATCATGATGGTGACTACTAAGATTACAGTGATGATGATGATGATGATGATGAGAAATGATTATCATTATTATTATTTATGGTGATGATGATTATGATAATGATGGTTGATGTGATGATTGATGATGATTGATGTGATATAAATGATGGTGATGATTATCATTATGACGATGGTGATGATGATGACTATTATTATGACGATGGTGATGATGATTATAATGACGATGATGACGATTATTATGACGATGGTGATGATAATTATTATAACGATGATGGTGATTATAATGACGATGGCGATGATGTTGATCATAATGACGGAGACCATAATATAAATGATGATGATAACTGCAGTGATGATGAGTATGAGAGTGACACTAATGATGATAATAAAGATCATCACATTTCCCATCATCATACTAGTATTAACGGTTGTGATGAAGTTGAATACAACACCAACTTAACAAACAAACGACTAAGAAATATGAATGATTTAAAGAATGGTGATGATCGTGATAAAGATAATGATGACGGTGATGATATTAATGGCAGCAGCAAGATTACTATGAGAATGGTAATGTAGTTATGATAGTGACAATAATAAAAGTGATGGTAAGAAAAATGATAAAGATATGGTAATGATGATGATGGTGATTTTGATGGTGATGATGTTGATGATAATGATAGTAAGTACTAGTAACAATAATGAGATAATAATAATATGATGATGATAATAATTAATGATGATAATAATAATGTAATATGATAATGATAAAGATAAAAATAATAGTAACTATGATAATAATAATAATATTACTAACAATAATTATGATAATAATAATAATAATTATGATGATGATAATAATGATGATAATGATAATGATAAAAACAATAGTAATTATGATAATGATAATAATAATAATAATAACAACAATAACAGTAATGATAAAAAATATAATGATGATAAAATTATGATCATTACAATAACAATATCAATAATAATGATTGGTAATGATAATAACAACTATCATAATAAAATGATAACAATGTGTGTGTGTATAATCAGTATATTGTTTACAAATGCATGTGCTAAAATATCGCTATCTCTCTATATAAAGATAATGAATTTTATCAATTAATAATTAATTAATAATTGAGCAATTAAAATGACACTTACCTCTGAGGATTCCCATGCTGATGTCTTCGAAAGGAGATTCCAAAAAAATTCCAGGAATTCCAGATAACACTCCTTGACCACGTTATTCGAAGGAAAAAAAATATATATCGAGTTAAGAAACACCTTATTTTCCTTCTCCAAACAATTACACTTTCTTCACCGACACTTCAAGAAAATTCTCCACGAGACACAAGGGCGAGTCTCGAAGAAGGTACACGAAGGAGGTACACGAAGGAGGTACACGAAGGAGGTACACGAAGGAGGTACACGAAGGAGGTACTTGGAGCGCACACCTTCTCGCCGCCACGTCCAGGTAGGCAATGACGGCCCGGCCACTTTGACCTGGGTGTACCCGCCCGCGATGGTGACGTCACAGCGACTACGTGACCCGGGAGCTGCAGACGACGCGAGGGTGTGACGTCACGGCCGATTCCCCCCCAGCAGACACGTGCAGGTATAATGGGGAAAGTTTTCAGCAAATACGCGCTAGATTTTCACACGAATTCCTCTCTTGGTTGTTTATTTTCTTTTTTTCTTCTTATTTTTCTTTCTCTCTCTTACGCCTTCTGGTCAGTGTTCGTCTTCGTTTTGGGAATGGAGGTTACTGGGGCTTCCGTTTTTGTTTTTGGTTTTTGGTTTTTGCTTCGTTCAGATCGAGTTCACGAGAAGTTTCATATGCTTCGCAGTTTCGCTTCGGAAAC